CCCCCACCCCCAGCCCTTGGAGTCTTCACTTCTACACCCTGGGACCTCCTAGTTGTTCTCACGCCAATGTCCCCCGGTGTCCTCCAAGAGCCAGACCTTTTCTTTACTCATGGCCGGGCCTCCTACAACACCCTATACCAAAAAATGCTCAATGAATAGCTTTCACAGTGAACTGAAACAGAATCTGTCCAATTCTCAGACCAGTTTGGGCTCTTGGGTGGCCTCAAGCTCTGTACATCCAAATGACCTCTTACTGTTCTTCCAAGATTGGATTTGGGCCCAGACTGAGTCAAATGACCTCTTATCATTCTTCCAAAATTAGGCTTTCCTCTTTAATTACACCTTATCTAGCCATACTCTATGTGGATTCTAATTACATAATTACTTCAAGCCCTGGGACTTAAAAACAAAAAAGAAAAGAAAGGCGTATATATGATTACACAGGCTAAATAAATACATCAAACAAGCATATTTACATACACCGTACTCCATTTTCTTGTTCATGTAGTTTTGTGATCCAGAAAATACAGTCCATGGAGGGGTCTAAATGGCATTAAGGTAAAAATCTCACCAGGTTCGAACAGATGAAGGAGAACTTCATGGAGAAGCCTAACCCTGAGATGGGCCTGAAAGAGCTTACAGTCAATCCCCAGGCCTCTCCCTTCCCCCTTCTACATGAGGAGAGGGGACTGAATTACCTGGGGTCTGGTAGATTTTTTAAAAATCATGACCAGGCCTGATCCCTCCTAACCAAAAATATCCATCATTTTCTGAATTCCAGGTACTCACTGTGCTGTCGCTTTCCTAAGGCACATTTACACCATGTCCATCCTGCAGACAAGGGCCCAGGCTCATCCATCTTGGTATTCCCAATCTCAATCCCTCCCAGTACCAGAGGGGCTTCTAGCAGGCCTTCCTTCTGCCTTATACTCCAGCCTTATTAAAGTAAATGCCCTAGCCCAGCTGTGTGGCTCAGTGGTTAAGCGTCAATCTATGAACCAAAGGTCCTGGTTCAGTTCTGGGGCAAGGCACATGCCTGGGTTGCAGGCTTAATCCCTAGTAGGGGGTGTATAGGAAGTAGCCAATCAATGATTCTCTCTCATCATTGATGTTTCTATCTCTCTCCCCCTTCCTCTCTGAAATCAATTATAAATATATATATATATACATATATATATATATATTAATAAAATGAAATCTATGCCCTTCTCCCAATGCACTAAGCCTTCCCTGCCTTTGCATGTGTGGTCTCTCTGCCCTCTACCAGAAATGCCTGCCTCCGGTCCAGTTCCAGCTTCCTTGCCTTTGCATGCGTGGCCCCCACTGTACCCTGTACTTGCCCTTACTTAGAGCTTTATAACATTTTGACACAAAAACCTTTTCATGTGCCTACCTCTCCCTTCAGACCAGTGGTCACTAAACTTTTTGGTCTCACTTTTCTATTAGTAAAATAGCATTGAGTATACTCACTTAATAAGTTAACAACTCTTGTTATATAAGTAGGAAAGCTACATTGTTCTATACCTGAATTAAAGAATAAATGGAACTTTAACTGGTAAGTTTTCTTCCTTCCCTCAATGGGTATCTTGAGAGCTCACCCACTGCTCTGGTTTACAAACAACAAGAGGACAACAAGGGAGGTTTATTCTCTTTGTATTCCCAGATTCTGGTGCAGAACCCAAAACTTACTAAATGAACTAACTTACATCACAGATAGACAATATAGACAATAGTTACTGTGGACCAGGCACTTGCCAGCTTTGGGGATAGAATGGTGAAGAGAAACAGCCTGGCCACTGTCATCATGGATCCATCCCACTGACTGGTGGGCTGGGCAGAAACAATGATTTTCTAACCAAGTGGGACAGAGCAGCTGAGATGGGTGCGGTGAGGGATGCTCATGAGAG